TAATCTCTGCATCATTTCCACCCATGACTTTTTCACTAGGATGGCCAAAACCCATGCAATTTGCATGGATTAACCTTTGTGTTATTATGATTGCCGGTTCATGAGGAAAAGTTACTGAACAATCGTGAGAGAGTAACTGTACTCAGTTTTCATCAGTAACCCTCCTGGTGAGAGGCCAGATTAACTACAAGTGGGGAATTCCTTGCTTAGCTGAATACAAACAACACATAGGACTCACGTAATGACCATCAAGATTCCTCTAGGTGGTATAAAATGGCATTTTTGTGTAAGTAATGAATAGCACTGTGCCATACAAAACATTCTGCAGAAGCATAGGGGTGTGCGTGGCTGAGGACTGTACTATGCATCCTCTAACATTGTGCATGGCACTCAGTATTTGTTGTCATGGGATTAGCCCATCCTCCAGTGAAGGGGCAGGAACGGGACAGGCTTTATTTGAAGAAGTCTGATGTTCATGATTTGCTTTATTCTCTATTGTTGTTACTCGTTCTTCTTTATTGTTCGTTTGTTATGGGCAGAATACCCCCAGCAAGATGGAGTGCCAATATATTGGGCACTGTTCGAATACAAAGATAAGCATCACTTGTTGCATTGTAGAGCTTGTGATCAAAACAGCCAAGACAAAGCGTGAAAGCACGGGGAGTATTTGAAATACAAAGTTATTTCCTTCCCTTTTGTACTTAGGAAATCAGCTCCAGTCTGGCCGCACAGATTTTCCCACCCACCTCTCTTAACAATCTTATATTTTGAGAGAGCTGAAATTATCATGTTCTTGCTTGCAAAGAAAGGCCTTTTATGTCATGTTCTAACCACAGCCAGTTGAAATGAGCCATGGAGCTTGGTTCAGAGCACAGTGGCTCTGACGGATCCTATTATCCTCAATCCAACAATGTCCTATTCATGTTGACATGACTAGCACAGAGAAAAACTGCGTACTTGCCAGACACCTCCATGTTACTGGATAGCCCATGTGACAGAGTAAAATATGGAACAGGGTGTGCAGTTTCTAATCAAACTACCTGATTTTTAGTAAAGGATTCTGCACGGAAGACTCCCCCATTTCTGGAAATCTGTAAAGACAGCTCCACAGCTTGGGATCTCACAGTGCTTTTGCTAAAATCCAGACAACTGAGTGTAGACTAATTGGGTGTTGGTGAGAGGCAAGAAGGCTGGTTTTGTTTCAACAGGCATAGTACCTGCTACGGCTCGGGCCTTCTGTGCCCATGGCTCTCAGGCAATTCAAAGAGGCCCACAAAGGGAGGAATTAGAGAGTAAAAATAAACTGCTGAGTTTATGATGACTTCAGTTGTTATCTCTTGAGACAGACACATAGCATCTGTAGCTATCCATTATTTGGTGTGTGGGTGGCAACTGTGACATTTCAGGAACTCGAGAGTTTAGCTTTGATGAAGCTGGAGGCCAAAGATCAAAATTGGACTCATCTGGGTGGGCTAAGGTTCAGCCTCATCTGATACACGTGTCTTCCATAACACTTACCACCTGAGAGACTTATGAAGCCTGTCCTCGCAGTGCTATCAGGAAGAAATGAAGTATTGCTGCAGAGATGGAAAACAACAACAGGATATTTTGAAGATTTCCCCAGCACAGCAGAGGGCATCTAGACTGGGACTGGAGTCATACAGAGAGTAGGATCCGGATTTTGAACAAGAGTTTAAGGTTTCGACAGTGGTATTTAAAAGGGGGGTGTGTAATGAAGGATTTTAAATTTTTAGATAAGAAAAATCTGGAAAAAATCTCCCAAGTCATTTCAAATGTACGTTTCATCAGAGCCAAGTATGTGAAGGATTTTCTACTATTTTCTGCTATAAAATCCATCACGGAAAAAATGAAATTAAAGAAAAATTCAAGCTTTTTATCCCCCCAAGAATGCATAGAAACATGATGATTCATTCTGTAGTTGTCTAAAGCAAAATTCCAGAAAAATCCATAGTCTCACAAAGCATTCAGGTTCCCAAGAGAGTGCTCATAATGAAAACACTGTTCCTGCTGAAGTTTTTCCATACAGCTCTGTTCAGCATCAGATCAGTATTCAAGGCTCCTTTGGCACTCAGTTCTTTCCCCATGGAGCCACTAGACTAAGCCGTTTCCTATACAAACATCTTCCCCTAGGTGTTTCCTTACTGCTTGCACCAGCTTTTGTCAGGAGACTTGGAAAGTGGTGTGTCTATCACTCTTCTAACTTCTCTTTCTTTTTTTCCTCCCTCCTTCTCCCCTTCCCACTCTTCTCCAGGAACCTTCTGCATCATTTCACTGTGCACGTGCGTGGCTGGAATCAACTTTGAGCTCTCCCGCTACCCCCGCTACCTGTATGGACTTCCCGATGACATCAGCCATGGCTATGGCTGGTCCATGTTCTGTGCATGGGGGGGCCTGGGCCTCACTCTTATCTCTGGCTTCTTCTGCACTCTGGCCCCTTCTGTCCAACCTGTCCCCAGGACCAACTGCCCCAAATCTAGACCTGAGAATGGGACAGTGTGCTAAAACAAATAGCAAACAAATACTCACATACATATATATATATATGTCTATGTATGCCTATACATGCATATATATGTATATATAATTATATATATATCTAATCTCAAATTAATGCCAGTGCCAAGGTAGAGCTGAGTCCAACACAGCACTCACATCTCCACCGGACTCTGTTGCTTCGTTCTTTCTCACAGCGATGGGAAAGCTTTTCTCTCACATGGCTCTTCCATCCAACTCTTTTCAGCAGCATACCTTAGAGATTGAATGAACATAGAGTTGCATCTACCTACTGCCATTTGGGAAGGGGAACAGGGGGTCCATGTGGGGAATCTGGCACCAGAATCTGTACAGGACATGGAGGGTGGGGTGCAGGGGGCAAAAAAAGCCTGTCCATTGCATCCAGAAAAAAAAATGCAAACAGCAAGCGAGGGAACAAATCAAGCATTTGAGCCAACTTTACAATGCACCTCCTCAAGGCCATTATCAGAAACCCACCCTCTTTTCTTTCTTAAAACAAAATGGCAAAAGCCTGCCCTGTCATTGGTTTGGGGTTTATGGGTTGGGGATTTTTTTTTTGCTTAAAACACAGAAAACAAAATGGACAGAATGTGTGGGGAAAAGCAGAAAAGCGTTTTCTCTTTGCCTGCCAAACTTCAGAGAAGCAAACAAGTGAAAATCATAATAACAAAACCAGAAAACAACAACAAAAACTTCATGAGGACATCTCAGCGGACTTTCCAACAATGCGGTTTTAATCTTCCAGCTGCCTTACATCCAGGCTTACAACTGAGGCTGAACTGCTAACGCGAAAGCAGCAGAAGGCCTTTTGAAAATGCTGTGATACATGTGTGTATAACCTTTTCTTCCCTCTCCTTTTATTTACTTTTTTTTTTAAGAAAAAGAAAAATTTAAAACATTGCAATGTGATTGTCCACTAAACCCATCCATGCTGTGTTTGTGGCCCAAGACTGAGGCACTGCAACTGCGGAAGCGCGAGGCAAGCCGTCAGGTCTGAGACAGCATGTCTCCTCTGGTGGATTTCAGGATGGTATTTTTGTTTTCACGGAGCATCTCAGAGTTCAGGATGGTGGATCCAAGGGAAGACCGACCAAGGAGAAGGGAGGTGGGGGGAGCCATGGCTGTTGTTCTTCCCAGATATTTGCTGGAGTGGGATTTCATCAAGTTTCTGGTTTGGATGTTTAAGACAACTGGGCAAAAGCCATTGCTGAGGAGGAAAGGGAGCCAACTTTTGTTAAGGGAGAAGTAAGAGACGCCTCTTGTTGTGTTCATGTATGCCAAATAAGACGTTCCCACATCTTGTCTTTGGAAATTTCCCTGGTTCACTGGACATCTCCACTCTCCATCTGGGAGAACTGTGTACAGATGGAAGCAAAAAGGTCAGATGCAGAGAACAGAGATCCATTTCCCATGAGCTCAAGCATTGTATGATATAATTGTGAATCTGCAAAATGGGACTCTTTCTCTTTTTTGGTCTTTCTCTTTTTCCTGTTACTTCCACTTCCCAAAAGTGTCTCTTTTCTTCTTCCCTCTGCTCTTCCCATCCTATGACCTATTCAGGTCATAGGTCCCAGAAGAGCTAAATGAACCGCCAAGTCTGGAGAGGTGGGTGAATGCTGTTAGAGGAAGCAAAGCATTTTGGTTTTGACAGCAGTGGGTCCTTGCAGGGGACCAGTGGTTGAGGGGAAGGTGGGGAGGAAGGGCCAAGGGAGTAACTAAAGGGAGTCTTAAAAGACAATGACTGAATGGCCATATGCAGGAGTAAGGGTGCCACTGTCAAATGCACAGGCAATGAGAGGGAAGGCAAAGTAAAATGGCCTCCCCAAAACCAACTCAACCAACAAGCTCTTAATTCAGGGATAGTACCAGCAATCCTTTTTTACACGATATCTGCATGCCTTCAGCCCTCATGAACCAATAAAAAGTCACCCTCTGCATCTAAAAAAATCTCACCAGGAGAAGAAGGAAACCTGTTCAGACTGTGCTGTTGCACAGAAATTGAGGCATTCATTTCCAGGTCATGGCAGTTACACAGTTAGTAAGAACCAGTATTTTGGTTAAAAAAATCTAACCAATGAATAATTCTTATGCAAGCCATTGCATAGCCAGGTATTCCCCTGCCAGCCCTGCTTCCCTCCCTGTTACACCTTGTGTCTTGTTCTTGCTTTATTAACAGTGCCCAAATGAATGAAGTTTCTGGAGGTCATGTTGGAGTAAGGTAGATTTGGGTTTTTTTCACTCTTGCCCAGCCACCTAGCTTTTGTTTTCCCTATTCTACAAACTCCCCAGACATGCCAGTGCCATCTGACAAGTCAGTGTGTTGCCATTGAAGTGCCACCCCTGACAACTGAAGTTTCATTTCATTTTCCATTCAGTGTGACCAGAGAAAGTATTTATTTATTCATGTTGAAAATGCAAGCTTTTTGAAGAGGCTTCCTTTTTAAGTTGATTAGGGAAGGTTTGGGGTTTTGGTTTGTTGGTGTTTTTTTTCCTGGCAGGGTTTTCAAATAGAGTGGTTTTGAAAACCTTTGAAACCATTTGACTGTGCAAGTGCCTACTAGGTAAGGAGGCTGATGAATTACTGTTGAACAGGAGAAGGAAATTAACACTAAACAGCTCTTGGAAAGCAAAATGAAACCTGAAAGCAGAAAATCCATAAATGAAAACCAAATAAGAACTATAAAAACATTCAGAAATTTTTTGAAGTATGAAAAAAGTAGGTTTTTCAAAAAAAAACCTAACTTCCCATTAAGATATTAATGCTTTAGGAAAATAATAACTTTCATTAAACCACCTTTGAATGCAAACTTCCTTGCTCCTCTGCAGTGCCAAGTGTGATAGGGAAGGTGTTTCATGTGAACACAGATACCTGGAGTGACCCAGGTAAACTAAATGTCACAGAGGTATCTGGTTGGAGTCCACCTCCAGGCCCTGTGGCATGGAAAGCAGCGTGAGAGCTCCTGTGATGATGTATTCTTTTGCAATCTGTGACTGTTTGGGTGTCTTCTTATAGAGATACAGTTTTGAAAGTGGTATTACAGCAAGATGTAAAGAAATTGACATTATTTTGCTGTTTTAAGGATTCTCAAAGCTTTCCTTGCTTTCTGCAGCTGGCACAAATAGTTCTGCCTTGATGGTGTTCTTGCCTTCTCTGGTGTTGGTTTACAAGCTGTATATGAGCCTGTATGTTTGTCTGTGTGTGGCAATGGTGGAAGAGGGTTATGATTATTTTTATTTACAACAGAAAAGTGTTAACCCTGGATCTTTGGGCCAATTCTGTGATTTTCCACTTGCTATAGCATAGGCTCTGTAAGGCCTGTGTGGCTATGGAGTATCTTAAAAACTATAGGAGTGTCTGAAGCAGCAGATGATCCTGTTACCTTAGTTTCAAACTGGATCCCCAAAGGGACCATTTCTCCAAACACCAGTTCTCTTGTCCTTGCCTCAGGTAAGAGCAAAACCCCCTTGGGATACTGTGAATTTCCCCCCATGCTACTCACAGAACTGGGAGGAGCTCTGTGTGTTTCAGTACTCTTACATGGGGCTCACAGCTTTCTGTTGGCTCAGGCTCATCTTTAGAAAAGGGTTGACTCAAAATAACATGCAGATCCAAATTTGTGATGGTTAGTCTCCATCTATCCTGAGCCAAAGCACACTCACATCTAGTCTGAGTTTCTGCATTCTGGGGAGGCTTTGAATTGTCTTTCTGAACAAAGATTCAAGCTTTTTGATGAGTGTGTGTTTTTCTGTTTGAGGAGTAGTTAATTAGACATGTTAGCTGTGATCCCAGCATTAAACGGCGTGACCCCATTCCTCAGACCTGCTCTGGCAAAGCGCCTAAGCATGTTCTTTACTTGGAGCATGTGACTAATCACCTCAACTTCAGTAGGCTGTTCATATGCTTAAAGTTAAGAATCTGCTTTCCTGGATGATGTTCAGCTTCCTGCAGAGTCCAGCCCCCACTCTTCTCTTCTTATCCTCCCCTTGTAGACAAAGTGACATTCTTGTCCTAGCCTGATACATCAGGGTGTGTTTGGTCTCCCTTTCTGGGAGGTGGGAACGCAGGGTCCGTAGGCAAGAGGCTCTTTCCTTCCCATGGACTTTCATGTTGCACTGCTGGGACAACATATCTCTATGCTCCAGAGACCACAGAGGAACTTGACTGCAAAGAACACAGATGTCATAAAATACAAGTCCCAGGGACACAGGATGAATTGTCTCAACCCATTGTGATCTGTAGGCTGAGATTTTGCATGTGGTGATTCAGTTATAGTACAGTGAAGTTGTCCTGTGACCGCAGTGAGTTAGCTACAGGGGATTTGCTGTCCGTCTCTGCTGGGAGCACTACATACGTGACGGGGCTACATGGCAGGAGTACATGTGCTCTGAATCTCATGTACTGTATAGGACACCCTCTTCTTCAAGCTAAAGCTTGAAGTGTGTTAAAATTTCTGACTCATAATGGCCACCTGTATATATCATCTCTCTCTTCTCCCTCTCTGCAAGCACACAACTGATCTTCCCTGATCTAAATAGTAGAGCCCCTCCGGTTATATTTCTAGTTGGGATTTTTTGCCTTTCATTCTATCCCAGGGGCAGTCACAAGTGGATCACAAACCACCAGTGACCAGAGCAATTTCTCTGAAATATTGCTTCTGAAAAATTGCAATTACTGTTTTAAATGTTATTTCAGCTGCAGTAACAAATGGAAGAAAAAAAACCCAACCAACCAAAAAACCCTCACAAACCAAACACAAAAAAAGCCTCAAAGTCCTCCAAACAGAGGATGTTCATCGTCTAAGGAGAAAATTGTGAGAGTTCGGGTATTCTGCTTTCCTGTAGATGCAAGTCATTTGGGACCACTTTCAACTGTGGCATGTTAGCTATGCAGTTCATTGGATGGTGAACAAAACAGCGTTGGTGAGGGAGAGGATTGATATGCAGAGGGTATCTCAGATTCCTAAGGGTTTCTGGAAGACTGTGTCTCCACGGCTGTCCATTTACCCACTATGCAGCACCACCAAATCAGGCTCATCCCTGGAGCCCACTGATAAACAGAGCTCAGAAGAAAATCACTGTAATCTGTCCTTAATTCTTGAGTGCCAAGCTAACTGCCAGCAGTGAAATGGAGAGGAAATAATATGTTACCAAGTATAGCTTAAATAAAGACATACATTGTTCGGGCTCTTTCTTCTGTGTGTCTCTACATAAGCCTAGAAGGGCTGTAGGAGTGCTCAGGCACATTCACACAAACCAGCACCGCATTTCATTGCCCCCAGGTTTTGTGCTTTTTCATGGCCCATACTGCTGTGCTCACCCAGCCAGCAAGGGAAGACTCAAGGTGAAAAACTGAGACAGCTCTGAATGATTGCCAGGCGCCACTGAGAGACAAAGAGTAAAGAGCGTGCGTGAAGCACAAACAGCATGTAAAGATTACTGATGGATGAATTTCCAAGGTCAGGAACTCAGTTTCAAAAAAGCCTAAAGTTTGATCACAAACTCCAGGCCAGATCTATACAGTCTTGATTCTGACAGTCTAAACCAAAAACTCATGAAGACAGGGCTTATCTCAAAACTTATAGCCCTACTGTTTGGAGTTATAACCAGGAATATAATGCATCTGTTCCATAGTCTGTTGAAGTCCATTAGAAAGCTTCCCATTGGCTCCAGTGGGTTTTGGATCAGGTGCCTTAGAAAATGTTTTAGTGCTGTCTGGGTTAACACTGAAATTTAAATGCGTGCTTACACACTATATCTAATCTTTGGCTTTAAATAGTTGTCAGATACTACCTTTCCTTTTGGAGCCTGGTACAATGCTGTCAATTTAATTACAGTATGCCTTACACGTGTTTAGGATTTAACTTGGAGAAAGCCTAGATGATTGCCTCAATATAGGCCACAAGAGGAAAATGAAATGGTGGTCACCTCTAGTAAAGCACTTCAGAATCACAGATCTGTCGTCCTTCCTTGCTCAGGGAAGATTTGCAATGAAAATAACAGAGGCTTAGATAGATTATCTCCAGGGAAGGTGAGGGAACAAAAAAAGGAAACCTAACAGCAGTTGCTATAGGTCAGAATTGACGAGCACTGGTAGAATTACGTGAGGACGATCCAATGTCGCCCACAGCATCAACAGCAGGAATTGTCAGACCATCCTAGGACTGCACTGTTATATTTTCCTTCACCGATTAACATTCCTGCAGAGTGGCAGAAAGTGACTTCAAACGTTTTCTTGCGTAGGATGTATATACATGGGCACCCTCGCTCCCCTCCTTCCCTAGACACACACACATGCACATCCCACATGATGTGGGTGCTAGTAACCTGTGAATATGTGTACTACACAGAGAGGAAATACATGGCAAAATGCAGCATGATCATTTCTTTTCTATTCTTTTATAATTAACTCAGGAGTTAGAGTGCAATTCAGATGCTATCTGTGTCTGTGCTAGGTTGTGCATGCAAAACACATGGAAACTATCTGCTGAAGAGACACGGGGAAGCACAGTGTAACTGGGACCATTTGGGTATTCACCATCAAAATGTATTTGGATATGTAACAAAGTGTTGCCAGTATTGTTCTGATCCCAGAGATGCAGGGGAAAGGAAGCAGATGAGATGACACAAATATATGTTTCTTTCTGCCCATTTTGCTTTGGGCAGATACATCCCCCAGAAAGGGAGGCAGTGAACAGCTCAGGGCAGAAACACCCTGAAACACTGCAGCAAGACTCCAGAGCTGACCGTCAGTTCTCTTCAGTGTTGGTTTCGATGGAGCTGCTGCTGATCCAGTCAATCCTTGAGCTAGCCATCCTACCTCCAAAAAATGCAGTTGTGTCCACAAGTCCTACCTGCCTTCAGTTGTGACCCAGAGTCCTTCCTACCTTGTAGTGCTACAGACCCTGGTACTAATCACTCATGTGAAATACATACAGGCATCACTTCCTGAGTAAGGCTGAGGGAAAACGAAGTCCCGTCAGGCCAGCCTTGGTATTCATAAGATTGATTCTTGTAACCTGCTGTTGCAAGGTGCTTCTCTAACACAGATGGCCTCAGCCACAGGAGAACAAATCACACCATATCACTTCCAAATCAGAAATGTTTATGATCCTCTGGTGTACAAATCCTGCTGTGCTGAGAGGCAGCGCCCTGGCAGGACACCACCTGAGTCTGTCCTCTGCAGAGGGCTGGTGTGGGCTGTCAGCAGCATGAAAACTGCAGTTAATGCTGCTCAGCACAGCAGGGAGCTCCGCGTCCCATGGCTCTGAGCCCTACCTGTGGCAGCATGGCATAGGAATATCTCTGTAAAGGCAATTCCTTCAAGCAGCCTCGTTATTTTGCCAGTTGGTCAGAAATATGCAAACAGTAACAGTGATTCTGCTGTGGATGAGATTAACAGCCAAGCCTTCAAAAAACTGTGTCACCCGCGGGTTTTGCCCCAGTTTCGAAGTTATGTTAGACACCAAAGAGCATGAATCAGGTATGGCTCAGTCTCCTGGGGCCAGCTCCACAAAAGAGCTTCAGCATCCAGTTTTCCTTAGGCAGTGAGTAGGAGTAAAATGCTATATGCCTTTGGTACCCACATATTTAAAACCCCCAAACATATATGCTCCTAATTGGCTTAAGCTTTCGTGACTTTTTATCTCAAGAACAGTTTTCATCTGACTGTTGGACTTAAGGCTGTATTTTTTTAAGAAAGGCTATTCATTGACAATATAGATTGTAAGGAAAAGGTTCAAGTAATCAGAACAACGAAAATGCACCCTTTGACCATTCAGTTAGAGCGTGCTGAATCATTTATAAGTCCTGGGCATGAACAACAGTCACAGACCTCTAACTTAAACTTTTTGCTATTTTTATTTGGCAATTTCATCACTTAGATTGTTTACCTTTATGTATTTGCTATTTGATCTTTTGCAGGACAAAATTTCCCCCACTTTACACATAAAAACATATTTGGGGACTTTTGAAGATATTTTTCTGCACTAACTTGGATTTTTTTAAAGCTTTTTAAGGCCTAGTAGGATAGACTTTACAACTTTCAAAGCTGTACACTGTACCTAAAATGGGCTTGAACTTTCAGTTCTTTCTCAAGTAAAATTCCCTTTGATTATAGATCATTGGAATCAATGGGAAATTTGCTTCATTAACAACTGTAAGACTGGATCCTATTTATGAGTATATGTGATGAGGGGAATTAGGTAAGGGGGCTGTACTTGTATGTTAGCCCACTTTTGATGTTTTGCATAGACACAGGAACAGTAACTGCTAGGTCACTCCAACTTTATACCAATCTGTTTTTGTAAAAAACAACCATTACACTTGTGTGTGGCTGGAATAAGGCAGTGGTAAATCTAGCCCCTAGGCTGACACACATATACATGTATATATGTGTATATATGTATATATATTTGTAACTCTATGAACAATGTCTATAGCTTCATGATTGCCTGAGATAAGGTGAGGTTGATGTACAGAATTTCAGGCAAAGGACTGTTTCTTTTTCACAATCCTCATGTATCTCAGATTTAAATTGAAACAAATGAAAAAGTTCTATTTCCCAGGAAAATCCTTATTCTGCCACTGTGTCCCACTAAAGCCAGCAGCATGCATATCCAAACACGTATATCCAGTCGTGAATACATGAGACTTAATTTCAAGGGCTTCTTTAAGAAAAAGAAATGGACTGAAAAAGCCAACAGCACAATTTCTGTTCCACATTAGCTCTCTCAGCACACTCACTCTTTATTAAGAGGCCCTTTGTATGAATGCTGTTCTTCTGCACCGGTGTATGTTTGTGTGGAGCATCTTTGTGGATGAAGTCAAGCTACACTAAGGCCTGGATTTTCTGACCTGCATTCGTCCTCATTAACCTTAAGCACTTAACTGAGCTCTTTATGTTAACAAGCTCATCTCTTTTCATTTCTTGTATAGGTAATGAATAATCCTTGTATAGGTAAAGAAAGTTGCTTCTAGATGGTAAACCAGTGAAACTGACATCTAAGATGGCTTTAGGAGCTCTCTCTTGCTCCATAGAGTGACCACTCACCTATCTTGGGTGTTCCCAAGATCTTAAAAGATCTTAAATCCTGGTGAGATGAATCGGGGACTTAGTGCAGAAGAGCATCCATATGGGGATTAGCCATGGCCCTGTGCTTCAGACACATGGCCTGGATCACCATGCAAAACACAGGTATTCATTGTTCACTGTTGGAACAAAAGGAGATGTTCATGGCAGGCTTCCCCTCCCAAACTCCAAAATGACTGCAAAGAATAGTGTTTGCCCCAACCCCTAGAAACTGCATTTAAGGTGAATTCCTTGTGGTCCTAGTGATGGAGGTCAGAGATCTCTGGTCTGACCTCTTCATCCTTCTCTGCCAGTCTTGGGCATTACTGAAGCACTTCAAAGAGTGAATTTATATCCTAAACATTTGAATGGCTGAGCTGTTCAAAGGTTACTTTCCTGCTCCATCCCCAAACTTGCCTGTAAAAAGTGATCTAGCTGGTAGTAATAACCAAAAAATTCTCCTCCAAGGTACAGTTTGGGTAGTTTCATGGGTTTTTTCAATGATGATAACTGCTTTACAGGCAGCTTGTACGGAGATGAAAGTGATTGCAATTTCATCCCTTATTGTTGGGATTATAGTTTTCCTCAGAAACACTAAACTGAAGACTAAACAAGCAAATGAACTGTGACTGTATTCAGAAAGCTGCTCTGACAAGGCTGAACATACGTCTCCATCTTATGGTGAGAGTCTCTCAGAGCGAAACTTTGGAATTGCATATTGAGTCTGTCTGAAGGGACCAGCAATTTAATCCAGTATAAGAACTTTGGAGATCTTGTGCATTCCCATATTTCACCTGAATAAAAGAGACACAGCCAGAGGAGTGGGAGAATTAAACTGATTTCTGGAAACTCGAGGGCTAAGTGAACCAACATATGGTCACTACTACTTATTCCTACAGCTAAGTATACGTCAGTGAGTTGACGATCTTCACCTATCTCTCAGAACAACTTGATTTTAAAAAATATGGTTAGGGTTATGACAAGACGGACTTTAGCTGCCCTGCAGGGACCTGTAAAGAAAGGATTCAACACTTTGTATCAGTACTTAGGGAAAGACTTTAGCTAGAAAGTGGAAGATAAAACTGAGTTCCAGGGATCACGCTATTTTCCAGCATGGTAACACCGTGACCAAACTGTACTGTTTCATCCTGACATTTTTCTCCTGTTCTCCCTTTCCTTTTTTTGAGGAGTCAGATATATCTCCCTTTCTTCCTTTTCCTCCCTCTGTGTGAGAACATAGAGATGCTTCCTGTAAAGACACATTTCTCTAAATCCTATTCCATACCAACTCTTGCATATGTGACTGCTTTGTTATTTGAAATGTCTGTGAAAAAGAAATAAAGGCTTTAAGAGTGAGCTCTGGAAATGAAGAGTAGCTTGAGGATAAATCAAATATAAGGATGCAGATCCATTTTCTGAAAGACTTGTCAGAAGGGTCCTAAATTCTCATCACTGCCCTCCTTCCCTCCGTCTCTGTGAGAGGAGTGGTGAGGGTCCTAGAATGTAGGACTCTCAAAGGTTGCTCTTTTAGCTGTCAACTCACTGTGTCCCATGAGGCTCTTGCAGACTTTTCAGAGTTTTACTGTCAAAGGAAACCTCTTTTTAAAAGGTGATAATGTTCAACATCAAATGGGAAGAGGCTCTAAAGGGTGGCTCTGTCCCAGTTTATCTTTCTTTCTCATTCTTTACAGCAGCCCTATGTGTCCATCCTGCACTCTCCTCCCAGCTGGACTGACTTTGCCAAGGGTGCAGCTTGCCAAGAGGGGCCTCCCTGGCCTCTCACCCCCGTGCTGCTCTTGGATTATCTTCTTGGATAATTCTACACTTTCTCTTAAAAAAAAAGTCTCACCTCCTACCAAAAGCCATAACTACTCCTGTGACCCTGCAGCAGGAAGCCTCGCCAGGGACAGCAACAATGCCTGGCACTGGAGGGATCCTAGGGGATAGGCAGGAAGATGGGTGGAGCTCACGTGGCCATCTCACATCAGAGAGCTAAACTATCACCTTGCCTTGCAAACTCGCACCATGCTTCATGAGCAACTTGGACAGTTCAAAGTCTGGATCTGACTTCTCACTGACTCACACTTACGCCATCGCACACTCCTATGGCAAATAGGTGTAGGCATGGCAAAACAAGCCTATGTGAAGGCATCAGCGGTTTGCACAAGGGTCAGTGAAAAATCAGACTCACTGGACTCTCCCCCATCCACAGCAACTGCATCTCATGCAGGTATTTGCTCTTTAGGATTTCTTCTGCCCCAAGTGATATTTACCCTAGCCATGAGCTACCACACTAGCCAAAAGGTTTTAGAGGCTTACCCTTCCTTGGTTCCCACACTGGTCCTTTTATTCCTTAAGGAAAAGCATATTTTTTTGTTTAGAAGAAATGAACCAATTCCTATAACCATCCTTTGGAGATGACAAAAGCTGAAATCATCACTGTCTCTAATTTACAGTTTGGGAGGCTTAGGATAATAATTTACTTAAATGCTTGTGAATTGAAGCATGTCAGCACTTTTCTAGGACATTCCCAAGTAAAATAATATAACTGGTAGAAGACATTCATCATGTGAATGCATCTTGGCCAGATGTTTATGTTTCCTCTAAGCGCAGCACACACATAACAAAGCTGGATTAGAAAAAACCTAGAATGCCACAATACTCAGGCATACTCAGAGAAATGGATTGATACGGTGCATTTATTTGGCATGTTTTGTCTTCAGAAAGTGCTACGAGTCCCACCAGACCTGTCGGAGGTATGTAGTTATTATAGCCATTTTAGAGATGGGAAGCCAAAAACCTGAGAAAAGACCTGATGTTCAGTGGTTTGATGCCCCCTTGGAATTTCTGCTAGTTGCAGGTGGAGCCTTCTGTTTTCAGCACTCTTGAAAACCCAGACCGTAACTGGTTTATCCAAATCTGCGGTGGCTATAAAGGTGAAAGCCAGGATTAGGACACTCAGGATCCTGACTTCATCAGAGCACTGCTACAGAGCTTTGATCCCATGAAGCACATGCTTAATTCCAAGCATGAATGTTCCGTTAATGATGCTATTGCCATGCTTCAAGCTAGGCACATGCCTAATTGCTTTGCTAGATTGGGAATTACATTAAAATATATTAAACATCAACATATTTTGAAAATCCAAAAATGTGGCCATTTCTCATTATCTTTCAAGCATTGTCAAGGATATTTGGACTGTGTATGCAGCCTCTCAACCAAGTGGAGCACTTTTTAGCCAATCTGTGCACAGTTTAATGAGTTTTGGGTAGCAACATCCAGTTGTCACAAGTATTCAAGAGTGGCTTGTCCTGCGAGGTTTGGACTCCTGTGCTGCTACAAGAAGCAAAGTGGCTCCTGTGGCCATCGGTGCTAACAACACATCAGCAACAACTGACTATTGTGATAGGTCGCTCTGGTAAGATGTGAGTGTGGTGGCTGATTTCACAAGTAATGCAGCATCTTATCAAGTGTATTGTACTTTTCCATTCCTTCCTGTAATCTGTTTGAGAAGAGGTGAACAGAAGTTGTTTAAACGTGAAACAACCCCTAACTTCTTGTTCTGTTACTTTAAGGTGCTAATCTGCAGACACACGGGTGTTTGTGCACGGGCATCGGTGTTTGCAGGACTGTTGCCCTGAAGGATCATTTAGTGGCAGGGTTGAGATCAGGGAACCAACAGGGAAAGTGAGCAAACCCCTGTAACTTTGAACAGACAAAAGTCGCAGAAAGCATCATAGGACTTTGCCAAAAAAACTGGCTACATCTTACAGTTTTCCTTTTGTTTTGATTTGGTTTGGTTTTGGTTTTATCCAGATCGGCACAGAAGACTGTATTTCCATCAATTAAAATCTTGTCTGGTAACTAACTAAACAACTTGTTCATGGAAAATTAAAGAATAAATAAGTAAACTGTCAGTTGTGGAATGTAAACTGATTAAACAAATAAAAAAATCATGTTGTGTGTTTTAAGGGCTGTGTCTGCTTGTGTTGGGAGTGGGGCTGGGCACCTCTCACCATCCCCTTCCTCCGCTGAAGGAAGAAGGACAAAGAGCAGAACTGGAAGGTGGGTGGCCTCTGACCACTGGGGCACTGGAAAAGCACTGGAAATGCTCTTTTCAAAACACTAGTAATAATGATTATATGGCTTCTGATCAGAAACACTGTAAGATGCTGCATCCCTGGAGACACTGAAGGCCAGGCTGGATGTGGTTCTGGGCAACCTGATCTAGTTGGAGATGTCCCTGCTCATTGCACTGGGGTTGGACCAGATGGCTTTTGAAGGTTCTTTCATTAATACCTTTCTGTGGCCACTTAACGTCTAGAAGTCTGTGAATTGTATAGAGACATCCCAGTAGATTATCACCTACCTTCCCCTAGTAAATAAAGAAATGAAAGTGAGTATGAAATATAGCCTTTTGGGGTTTTAGTGCTCAGCTGTAAAGGCTTTGGGCAACTTGGCAAGTACAACCCTGCACTCATCTTAGTACTTCCTCATTGCACTTGCATCCTCAGGCCAACAGTAACAAATCAAACAGGCATTTTCTACACAGCTTTGAGTGTGCAACTAGAGTTGGGCTGCATGTGCCTCACATTGAGCACCTAAAGATCAGGGCATTCGTAACAACTGTAAAGGTATAAAAACTAGGCAAAATGTGTAGAAGGAAAGTAAAAGAAATGGACAAAAGTGCTTTAGAGTGTGCAAGCAGAGGAAAAGCAAGAGTAGGTCTAAGAGAAAAGCACAACTTTTTTATCTTTCAATCAATGGCTTTTAAATTAATTACCTTGAGCTATATTATTAAAAAAAAAAAAACAACTGGAAAGGTATTTTTAAACCACAATTATTTTGTTGGGAATGGTGTTAAATATTGAAATTGCCAGTGTTGGCTGCTTTTTTTTTCCTGATTGAGCAGCTGTACCTATCAAGGTCTGACAGTCAAAAAGTAGGAGGCACCTAAACATCCTGCCAGAAAGTGCCTGGCACATTCTTCTCGCTGATGGTTTTTCCCAAGCTGACTGGTTTTTAGTGACAGACTTTGGGCTGCAGCAACAACAACCAACCTATCTACTGCAGTTCTCAGGATGGAGTCCTTCCTGTCCCCAAAGAGGTGCTGTCTAAAATATCAGCTACAACAAGGACCCAAATGAAGGGTCTGAAGGGAGGACAGCAAGAGTGAATTCTCTGTCAAAAACCTCACTGGTACTAGCATGTGTTCCTTGACCTCTTCCCTGTCACTAATGGCTGAGGAAGTGAGAAATCTTGCCACATTCCGAGTGATATCACTTGTATTACCCGCGCTTACACAAATAAAGCACAGAGTAAGAGGGGAAAGAGCTTGCTGGAGGGTGCAGAACCTGGCAAACCCCCCCCAAGACAAATGAAGGGAGTTAAAGCTGTACAGTGGCATATTCAGCACCATGAAGAAGTAAAACCCCTTCAATTAAAACTCTCATCTTCTTGCTTCTGCTGCCTGGCACAGCTGCCCACCCAGCCATCCCTGCCTGCTCAGTGAAACCAGCAAATACCCAGGGGCTGCTAAGGTCTTTGCTCTCTGCCACGAGCAGAGACAATGTGATTCATTGGTGCTAAAAATGGAATCCTGCAGAGCTCGCTTTGTTGCAGGGCAGAAAGCAGGTGCCCTGTCTCATGGCAGTGATGGCAGGGAAGGCTTCGGGAGCGTGGCTGCCGGATCAGAGGATTTAGCTGCTCAGCACCTATATGGGGAAGGGGGAAGAAGAGCACAAATGGAAGGAGCTGGCTGCTCTTTGAAGGCTGAGCTACAGACACTGTCATGGAAGGGCCTGTGCTGCAGAAAGAGAGTGGCCTGACATCAGGGAATATTTGTGCATAGAACACCAGGGTTGCATTAGCCCTGTGAGGGCTGAATGTTAACTCGCAATGTTAACTCGCACTGTTGCTCCCTGCAGTGTTCAGGCTGCCCAGCCCTGCTGCTGTCAGCTCAGTGGTGCTTTGCTTTGCTTCCTTATGGGGGTCCGGCCCTCTGGCATGAGAGGCGACACCAGGTAATGCCATAGCACTGCCCAGGAGCCTGCAACCCAGCTAGACAAAGCAGGCAGTGAGCAAGAGAAGGGAAGACTCATTAGCTGTAGCTCACCACATAGGAAGCAGAGAACAGAGGGATTTGAACAACTCAACATCACACAAGCCGCCCATGGCAGAGCAGCGGCTTGCTGTGCCCTTGTCAGGCTATCTCAGTCGGGAAGGCAAGAGCTGAGGCTGCCTTATCTCCCCATCTTGCCAGGCATCCGCACTCAGCAGCTCACAGTTTGGGAACTATAGCAGAAGTGCTCATCTCTCGTGGTCAGAATCCCACTGTGAATTAGCACCATTGCCCTCAAAGGTACCTCCATCTATTCAAGACTCTACCTGGTCATGAAGGGAAGTAACTACTCACTTGGGAAGGAAAGTAGTGAGTATTTTAAGAATTAGGTTTAGGAGAGAGAAAGATACCCATCGGCTTCCTCTGTGACACAGTGGGGCCTCGGCAGGTTGAACAGAGAGGCAACAACTCCTGTTCTTAAGAGCAGTGAAATCCTTTGCTCTGCCCCTAAGTAGCACCCCAAAGCGCAGTTTTCCCTTTGCTTTGGGTATCTGTTAATGCTTTCTGCCTGCAGTGGAGTGAAGACCCTCGCACTGAAATGCAACCGCTTTGTTTCAGAGGCAGGCTAATCTCACGGTGACCTTTCTTGTCAAAAGCACATGATAACTGCAGCAGACTGGTGCTGCATGGGGTGAGGATGCTCGTAATGAAATGCTTTCAAAGCTCGACACTCATTATTCCATTACATTATCAGGCTCTTCCCCAGGGGCCCTCTAAAGAGTCATGGCTGAGCTCTTTTCCTGCAGAGACCAAAAGCAGACCACCTCAAAAGCTGCATTTACTACATTTTTTGCTGCCTCCCTGCTCAGGGGGAGTGTGCTCTTGTTCATTTGCATCAGACAGAAGTGGAAGAACTATGCCAGCTCAGCTATGACTTTATCAGCCTGCTAACCCACGCCAAAGAAGTCAGCCTACCACCAGCCAGGAGTAGACAAGGCTGCTGCTACCCCAAAGCTTAGCATGCAGGGCCCATGCTTGCCAAAGGGTCTCCAGCATGTCTCGGCCACCCTCTCTCTGCTCTCCTGCATTTGCCATTCACTTGCAAAGGCTGTCCGTGAATTATCTGTGAGAAAATGAGCTTCCCCTTTGACTGCTTAATTTCCTGTGATTTCTTCCTATTCTCAGATAAACCCTTGGTTTTCTCAGTTCTGAAATTCAAAGTGGCTATCACCCGGAGGCGAGGACCTCACCTGGAGCTGGCTGCTCAGAATGAAGGCTGCGTTGGTTGTGATAGCAAAGCCCTCTGATGGAGCTCAGCTCTTTACCAGGAAATGAGTTGGTGGCCAAAGGGCAGGCCCACTGGCCTGAGAGCTGTACTGCCAGCAGATAAAGCTGGAGACAGGTCACAGAGTCTAAGCTCTGGGCAATCATCTCCCCCCTGCTCAGCTCCCCAGAGACAACCCTTTCAGTCAAAGGTGATGGTGAGTATTTTGGAAGGTATTAAACAGAGAACCAGAAGCACTACAGATCTTGCTTTGGCTTATGCTAACTGTTCACAGCAACGCTCACAGTGCGTGCCAGGAACATAAAGGGAGAAATAAACCCTGCCATAAGGAGCATGTCATTTGGAAAAGCAGAAGCAGGCAAAGAGTGAGAGCAGGGAATAAAATGCACAGGTAAAGTCTTCATAGCCACAGCTGGCACTTGGAGTTGGCCATATATATTTGAAACAACCCTGCACAGAAAGCTGCTTAGTACTTTAATGTCTTCCGAGGGCTAAATAAACTCCAAGTGAGCACACACAGCATGCACACATGCAGACACACACATCCTCAACTAGTAGGTAAAACATGGAACAAAACCAAATATCCATCTTCGCAAGGTGTATTTCCTCCTTTTTAGCTATGTTTTGTTATAATCTTCCTGCAAACCTGTTAGAGAAAAGGAGGCTGAGACTGAAATAAGTTGCTCCGTGCACTGAACAAAACCTCAACTTTTCAGTTTCATACTTGGGGTGCCTGTCTGACATGCTGCAGTTTCTGCTTCATTCAACATACCTTGTTCCCTTTAGGAGTTCTCTACCCACCATGTTTGCAGCAAAAAAATACCATGTGCTGAGGTTTATAAGAAGCTTTTAAACAGAACAGGTGACTGCTGAGTCCTCCCTCCCTTCCCTTCTGTCAGATGGAGATTCATGCATTACCTCACACTTCTCATCTCTTTCCAGATACTGACTGCAAGTAGCCAGGGGATTCAAGGGTTGATGGGGACAGATGGGCAGACATGAAGTGACAGAACATTCATTTCCTTAGGAAACCAGGATAAAAATAGTATGTTCAGAGTTCAGCTTTTTCTGTAAAGATGCTCAGTTTCCAGGGAGGCCGAGCCAGTGGTCTCAGGTGGCCGCAGCAGCTCTGTGTCCTGGGTGACACCTTTCCCCACCGCAGCCGTCATTGCTGTTCCTGGCAAAGGTGCATCATGGCAGTTCTTCCTTTTGGCCAGGAGGCTCTGCAGTTGTTGAGATCTTCATTCTGGGTCTGAGCCCCAAAGAGATGCCCATCAGGGCAGATGATATGGAAACATTCACGATCAGAGTGGAGATTCATGTTGTCTGAGGCAGGATCTAAATGCTCCCAAGCTAAACCTGGCAAGCTGGAACATCTGCAGAGACAGGAAGATGGCCCTGAGGGAAGCCTGGCAATCAGCCAGGCTTTTCCCCCTTCTCCAATAGCACCATCCTGAACGGCCTTGCAAGAAACCTTGCAACCCCCCTGGCTGCCTTGCTTTGCCCACCAGTAGGCAGGGATGGAGGTCAATATCTGCAACAGCTTATTGCAAAGACTACTAAGGAAGTGCTGCTGCAAACGCAGCATAGTCCCAGCCTGTACTAAGCAGTCCCTTTGCATCATT